CAGCAGCTTGACTTCACCGTTTCTAAATAAATAAATAAATAAAACGCCTCATTGTATAGACTCACGTTGTTAAAACAGGCATTGTAGAGTGACCCAAAAAAAAAACTTGAGTTCACGCTCTCGGTATTATTTGCATATTCGAAGGAAGTACGCCGAAAGCTGAATATTTAACAGCGCGTCTTTTTAAGCACGTCGGCACGAGTGAGTGGAGGGAATTCCGCTGTATCCCCGACACCCGTGGCTGTCCTCACCCGAAGGACGAAAGGGGATGAATATGACAGACGGAGCTCGGACCCGCCACCGCTTGGAGCCGATCCAGAGGGCTTGTCAAGATGCCGTTTTTTAATTGCTTCCTTCTGGAGATACGTTTCTTTTGATGTCGGACGCCATATTGCCTGCGAGGGAATGAGTCAACGAGGTATTTGCTCCTGTCGATGCATAACCGCCTCGCAGAGTTGCTGATGCTTATGACGTCACGACACTCGCAGATCCTTCGCAATTCTCACCCCTGCTTTAGTCCGAGAGAGAGAGAGAGAAGGGAAGAAAAAGCAAATGCGAACGTTATGAATGGCGGGTCATATAGCTGTGTCTTGCCTCACGCAGGAGGTCCTTCAGCAAGGCTTTAAGTTGCACGGAAGGGAGGACAATACAGTGAGAGAGATTAACTGCTTCCTGCTCCGCTGTACTCTCGCCCGCACTCCTAAGTCTTCTGGCAATGTTTTTCTCTTATTTCCTTCTTCTTCTTTTTTAATAAGCTTTGTTTCTTCTTGTTATTCGGACTCGCGTTTGTTTTTTTCCTTTTCTTTATTGTTCGTTCGGAAGATTGGCTTCGGGATTATCTCGCGGAGTATATTGATTTCCGGTAGTATAATCTACATAAACACGCCGACCCCGTATCTGTCGGGCTAAGCGGCCCTCCTTAGCGTCCGCGGCGACGGCATCATTTCGCAAACCGAAATCGCTCTCGTTTTACTCAAGGTTCGCTCCGAGTGACTCTCGCAGCTCTCAAACAAAGCGTGCAAAAGTCACCGACGGTTTAATACGGATAAGAATGCCGGCATCGACGCAGGGGGATGCTGTTCGTGTATTAATAGCCCCACCACCATCATTATCGATCCCGTCGCTGTCACCGACGAGGTCACCATTATCACCATTATCACCATTACTGATATCAGCATTGCTGTTATCCGAGCGGGACGAAGAGCAGACAGGGAGGTAATATCCAGCCATATTGGATTATTGTCGGGAAAGGTTAAAGGACGGCCATTATCTAGCCTCCGGCACCCTGACACTTAATCGCGGGTCCGTCTGTGTCTACGTTTAATTAGTGCTCTCCTAATTTGAGCATAATTAATTACATCTCTTAACAGTTGGTTCTATAATACTCAAGATCTCGACGATGTTGGTTTGAAGTGGCTCGCCGGCGGACAGATACGAAGCGATACCAGAGACCTTGCTCGGGGACACGGGGGGGGGGGGGGGGGCGGCGGCGGCCCTGTCGGTGCGTCGATTCGCATGGCCGTCGGGGTCATTCTTTCTCGTCTTCGGGATCCCGAGCGCTGCTTCGAACGACACGCAGGGGTTCTGTTTATGTATGACTTTATGTATGCGTCTCGTTTGTGTGTTTAGCGATGTTTTTTTAATATTCCCGTGTGGCTCTTTCTGTAATGGTCAAGTTCCTTTTCATAAAGGCACGGATACGACATTAAAAAGAAAAGGCAGTCCCAGCTGACGCCAGTAATAAGGCAGTCGATGCTTTTACCACTTAACCCATTTGCACAGACGAGAAAAAAAGGGGAACCATACTTAAACGCCACTCTTGACAGTGGGAAAAAAATATATATATAAATGAAGGACAAAATGGGTTGAATAGAGAGAGAGCAAAACGTCAAAATGTAAGTAATCCTCGCCGTTCGCTGGGGCAAGTTTTGTGCCGGTCTTGCCAAACTTTAGCAAGGGATGGAGAGGACGGCAAGAATTTCAACTCAGCAGAGTGGAGGATTTCCTTTCCTTATTTCTTTCAGATGGAAAATATATGTTTCTTATTCTTGCATACACGGCATTATTCTCTCCCTCTCTCTCTTGGTCTCTTTCTTCTTCTTCTTATCTCGCTCTCATATATCTCGCATCACTCTCTCTCTCTTTCTTCTCTCTCTCTCTCTCTCTCTCTCTCTCTCTCTCTCTCTCTCTCTCTCTCTCTCTCTCTCTCTCTCTCTCTCTCCTCTCTCTCTCTCTCTCTCCTCTCTCTCTCTCTCTCCCTCCCTCCCTCCCTCCTCTCCCTCCCCCTCCTTCCCTCTCCCTTCCCTCCCTCTCCTCTCCCTCTCTCTCCCTCTCTCTCCCTCTCCCTCCCCCCCTCTCTCTCTCTCCCTCAAACCTCCCTCTCTCTTTAAAACCTGCCTTTGATTCTCGGCCGCAGAGAGCCCCGAGAAGCAGCAGCAAAGCACCTGACGAGACCTGCTGAGTATCCGAGTCGCTCTGGACTGAATGCTTATTTGATTGACTGCAGGTCCGGATACGCCGTCGACTGAATATTCGGTATTCGGTGCGCGGGGGGGGGGGGTATGAACCGGAGGATGTTGGGAGAATTAGAGCCTTTTTTTTTTTTTGTTCGGTTCGGTGGTTTTTTGTTTTGTTTCTCTCTGTTTTGTGTCGGTTTCTCGCATTTTTTTAAATATTTGTTTTACGCTTTGTATTTTCTTTTTCTCCTTCCTCCTCCTCCTTCTTCTCTCTCCTCCATCCCTCCCTCCTCCCTCCTCCCTTCTCCTCCTCCCCCACTCCTCCTCCTCATCCTCCCTCCTCCTCCCCTCCTCCTCCTCCTCCCCCTCCCTCCTCCTCCTTCCTCCCTCCTCCTCCTCTCCCTCCTCTCCTCCATCCTCCTCCTTCCTCCTCATCCTCATCCCCTCTTCCTCATCCTCCCCTCCTCCTCCCTCCCCATCTTCCCCCTCCTCCCCTTCCCCATCCTCCTCCTCCTCCCCTCCCCTCCCCTCCCCCCCCCATTCCCGACCCAATAAAGTAACCATATCCTTGCGGCGTCGCGGTCGTGGCAGACCAGCCAAATGCAGTAAGATCCCGGTCCTTAGAATGACCAGCATATTCGGAGGAAGACTTAGTGATGAGTTTGAATTATTCTCTGTTTATGCGAGCGATATTCCCTGTCTTAGATTCATTTTTTTTAAGATGATATCTAATTTGTACCTATAAACGTACACGTACGATTAAGATGATATCTAATTTTGTACCTATACACGTACACGTGCGAGAACATACGTGCACTCATACTGGCGCGCATACATACACACGCACACAACACACACACACACTCACTCACTCACTCACACACCTGCATTTTTTTTCTTTCTTTCTTTTTTTCAAGTCGAGACATTTAACACCTTCCCTTGCTCTCTTTCTGTCCCGTTCACATTCAGGGCTGATTAGGTCTTGGCTGCGTTTCCCGAACAGCTTCAAGTGTTTAATTTATTAGCTAACACTCCTGGCAGCAACCCCTAATCCTGGGAGGTTAGACGTACCGCTCATGAATAAGGTATAATCTGGAACACGGAACCTAAGCCTGGGCCGCCTACGCAGATAGACTAGCTCTTAGGGCTGGACCGATTAAGAGCGGAAATGCCTTGACTGGGGGGAGGGGGGGGAACGCTCCCAATTTTGCTCCCCTCTCCCCCCCTCTCCCCCTCCCCAAATGTTGCATGTTAGTTTCTGGAAAGAGCAAAGTTTGAAGACACCTTGGTATTGAGAGCATTCGATTATTGGCCTTATTGCTCGAGGTGTTAAAGGGGAAAATGGCTCGCGTTGTTTCTCGGCAACTGCCCTTCTGTCTTCCCTGCGAGGATGAAATAAGAGGACGCGCTTATTGAACCAATTTCTTCCGTAAGATACTCTGGGCCGCTCTCATCACAGACAGTCAGATTTAACTAGGGTGAAAAGAAGGGGGTTAAGCCTATTTATTCTCTCGCCGATGACTCTCTCTTTCTCTCTCTCTCTCTCTCTCTCTCTCTCTCTCTCTCTCTCTCTCTCTCTCTCTCTCTCTCTCTCTCTCTCTCTCTCTCTCTCTCTCTCTCTCTCTCTCTCGCTCTCTCCTCTGTACCCTTTCTTCTGAAAAAATGTATCTGTTCGAGGTCGCAAACACAACTGGAAAGAATTTTTTCGTGCGTGTGCTGATAGTTCCGTCGAATTACATTTTTCTCACAATACTCCTTTAAATAATAAGTAACCTTAGCAGGCGACATGCTTTAAAAATT